CGCAATTTTTGTAATATTCTTTTTTACATAAAGAAATATCAGAATTTAGGTTACAATTAAAAAAGCTGTAAATATATTTTGGATTGGGGGATATATTCCTTTCGCTATTACGGCGAAACCGCATAATCGTGTATCGCATATCGTACTTCGTTATTACGAGGTTGTGGATTATCGATAACTGATGATGGGAAATCCTCCTGTGTGTGCGCATGTAAAAGAAAGCAAACCTATCTCATTTTCTAGGAAGAGAAAGCATGTCATATCGGACGGATTAAATGAGAGAGTGTCTTGCATATGACTGCAGGGCGTCGCGCAAACCCGGACAGACGGAAAATTGAAAACTATAAATTTCTTTGCTTTCTCCACCGTCCTCATGCACGCCGAATTCAGCTTGTCGACGCTACCCACGAGAAACCCCTCCCCCCTTCCGATCTTTACGAGATGGTTTATGAACCTGCGTCATTTGAAACCCAAAATAGAATTTCGTACTTAATATCATTTACGCGATGTTCATCCGCGAATTGCGTTATCACGATTGATATTTATATATGATAATACTCGTCATTAATTCTGTTACATCACAACGCGAATACTTCTTATGTAAAAAGAAAATATTATTATCAAAAGATGAATGTTACAAAAGATGAATCGTAAGAAGTAGTTAAAACAGTTTTTTTTTTCGATAATAAATAAACTAAGTCAGTAAAAAAGTGTTACGCAAATACTTTCTGGTGTACATTTTGTAGAAAAATATTTTATTAGAATTTTGAAAGATTTATATCATGCAGACCGTCTATCTAAAATAGATTATACATATTCTGTCTTCGTTATTCTAGTTTATTAACTGTAATTGACGTAATTCTGATGAAGACTAATTGTAATGTTAATTTGATGTGTTCAAAACAAGCATGTCGATGTTACTTCATCCATTATGAAAATTATACGGCTAAAAAATTATATAGGTCAAGCGATCGCGAATCAAGGAGATATGACTATAGATTATTGATTTTTGTCATAGCTTAAGCTACGGCATTTTTATCATAAATGTAATCTAGAGAAGAAAATTAATAACAAATAAGTAGATATATGCAATGTAATAATATATCATTTCCATATTTTGAGTGTCTTTCTAATTATAAAAATAAAATTAATATATTTAATCATTAGGCATAACGAATCAAAATTTTTAATTAATTATCTGTATAAAATATTTCACTGTATCAAGAAACGAAAATAATCAATGTCGAAATAGTCAATTTATTATTTGTGACAAAGTTTTATAATTTTATATGCTCTGTAATATATAAAAAGTAAGAAATAAAGATTTATACAATAATTACATCAGAAAATACGTGTACACATCAAAATGTATGGCATATAAAATTACAAATAGAATTTTATTTTAGATTCTGATACGAATTCTAGACATTGTCTAAAATAGAATTCAGTAAGCAAAATTTTTCATAAAACTTCACATTGAAATAATGAAAAACGAGTTTTTACGTTATATCATAAGTATAAATGTACCAATATTTATAAATTACAAACTTGTGTATAAGATATGTATCTCCTACTGACAAAATAGAAATAATTACAAAATATCTTAATATTTCTACATTTCATAAATACTGAATATGAGAAGAATAGAATAAATTCCTACAAATATGTTTATAAAATATACGTATTTGTCTTTTCATGTACGACTGTTAATTAAACTTAACATATGTGAAAAATGATTTTAATGTCTTTTTGTATTGAGTTTACGATTCTGTATAATTAGTTTGCCTCTTTAGATTCTTTTTCTCTTTTGCTCTTTTAATTATTTTAATCATTTTAATTTTAAAATTTAGATTCGTAATGTTAATGTATGATTTGTAATGTTAATGTTTAACCCAATTATTTGATATTATTATTTAATAAAATCTCAGTCCTTTCTCATATTAGTATTTAATATTAAACAATTTAAATAATTCAGATTTTTTTTCAAATATCTAAGATTGACATTTGCACGATATTGTTTGATATTTGCTAAGTTGGTTCTCAAGGGAAGAAAGTCAGTTGGAAAACATACTCGAATTCGTCGGAGCGACCGACACTTGTTCCATAACGCGCGATTCCCTCCGCGCTAGTAGTAACAGATAGCACGAGACAGACGCGCCGCTGGTAATCAAAGTCCCGTGTCGTCATATCCGCTGGCAGATAACGGTAGGTCCTGCGCCAACGAATTTGGAGAGACTCGAAAACCTCGAGATGAGCAAGAAAAGATTGCAAAAGAATACCATGGGAAAAGGAGAAAAAGAGAGAGAGAGAGAGAGAGAGAGAGAGAGAGAGAGAGAGAGAGAGAGAGAGAGAGAGAGAGAGAGAGAGAAGAAGAAGAAGAGAGAGAGAGAGAGAGAGACGAGACGACGGTACGACGAGAGAGAGAGAGAGAGAGAGAGAGAGGAGGAGAGAGGTGAGCGGGGGGGGGGGGGGGGCTACGTACGTACGTACGTACGTCGTCGTCGTACGTACGTACGTCTCTCTCTCGTCTCTCTCTCTCTCTCTCTCTCTCTCTCTCTCTCTCTCTCTCTCTCTCTCTCTCTCTCTCTCTCTCTCTCTCTCTCTCTCTCTCTCTTTCGTCGGCTCGATTTTAACCATAGCGAACATGCGACACCAGGAGCGCTTCGCCATGTACGCATGACATCATGTCGATGTCTGTGCGTGACACGTCGTCCGCCCGTGGCCCACGTCGAAAGTGACGGTGCACCCCTCGGCACGTCGAGGGGTGTCAGCGGAACGAGATTCCGACCTGCCGGGTCCACGACAACGCGGATGCAGGGATCCGTAAACCGCGACGTCACGGCTCGATGGATCGATCGCGCGGAAAACCTGCCGTGATCTGGGAACGTCCCGTCGCGGATAATCGTCGATCGTCGAGCGACGTTGCTGCCGGAATGGACGGTAAGTCACAAATCATTAGCGGTGTGGACGCGCGTCGCTGTCGCGTGCTGGCATGCCAATTTCGTTGGCCCAAGGTCCTCCACGTCGGCTGCCGCGCCGGTGTCAAGGGTGTAGTCACGTGTGCGATTTGAATTGCTAAGCAGACCTTGATCACTGATTAATTAAAATACGATGTGAGGGAGACGGGGATTTATTATTGGCGAGGAAAATACTTGAGACGAGCGTGAAGTTGGTGCACCGCTTGCCCCGTTTTACAATGGAGCCGAAAAACATATTACAAAACGATTGTTTTCTCTTTTTAAAAAAAAGATTACACAGACAAAAATATTACGTAAAATATACAAACAGAAAATACAAGGGATATTTATTTCACTTCTAAAGAATCTTAAAATTCAGATACGTTATTGAATTTTAATAATAGAACAAATAAATATATTATATTTATTATATATAAAAAAAACACGTCTTTCAACATTATATATATAATAAATATATTATGTAATACATTACATTATAATTTTATTTTTAATTTTTTTCCCGTATGCTGCGCGATAAAAATTTCTCGTATTGAGCTAAATTAAAAATATAAGATTCTATACGTCGTTGAATAGTTACGCAATAACGCTGAACACAATCGCGTTTGGTTTATTTCGCCGTATTGCGACGCGTAACTTTTTTTGATGCGCCCATAACAATGAGTGGACAATTTCATGATAATGAAGGCGGAGCAAGATAAAGAGATGCTCTGGACTAACTTTGTGTCGCTCGAATTAAGGACTATAAATGAGAAGACCGCGCAGAGCAAAGGGTATAGTACGCAGGGATGAAAAAAGGATTCTTTTATGACCCTTTTACTTCGCCTTCTGTTCCGGCATCGACTGTACAGCTTTTCCTTCGTTCCTACTCCTCTCTCACTTTCCACTTCTCTCTCCCTTGATGTATTAAAGGGGCACGTAAAATATTCCGGAGGCATTTTCATTACCGTCCTCTCTGGGAATGCACGCGGGTTGATAAGCCTTTCTACACGAGGGCGCAGGGCAAAGTGGATTGCGAAAGGGGAATCGAATGTATTCGGTTGCCACTGTGTCCCTTTTTTGCCCCTTTTCGACTTTAGAGAACATTGCATTATTTTTATTAAATTCACGCAACAACACGCATATACGCGCTCTTTTCAGCATAATTAGAAAAATGTCATTTTTCGTGGCATGGGCATTTACAATAGAATGTTTATTATAATAAATGCAAAATTAATCCCGACAGTTGTTAATCGTTAGTTTTCGTCCAAGCTATTCCATTTAAATTGCCTTTTATCCGACGTGAGTAAATAACGAACCGTGGCGAGTACAAATTACATATAAATAATTTAGATTGGATTTTGCATAGTAATTATATGATATTTATGATGACATAAATATTATTAGTGAAATGAATGTATAAATAAAATCACACTTATTCTCATTTTCTCTCTTTCATAATTCATTCTTCTCTTAATTATATGTATAGTTTTTCAGAAGTAAAGGAGCTAGGTAATACGAAATATACTTGCCGTAATAATGATGCATAATGCATTCTATTTTATAATTTGTTTATGTATATTAATACAATTTCCCACTAATCTTTAATTATACGAGAAAACTCATAGCGTATTCTACATAGCAAACTGTTTAGAATACAACTGCGTGATATCAGAAATAATTTTCGTGATATCTACTGCGAGAATATATACGTGCGTATTGTATGTCATGTTCCATAAATTTGACAATGAGCTAGCTATCTTTATATCTAATAAACTAAAGTATTATCTGTTAAAGTATTGTATCATCTTTTACAATATTGTTAAACTAAAATAAAATATTGTTAAACTAAAAATCACATACCTTGTCTAATTCACATAATACTGAACATACACGACTCGAACTCGACGATGTAAGTGTTTGTATATATAAAAATCTGTAATCACATTACACGTGTTAGATGTATCTGACTATCTTGACATCGTATTGTTGATCCGATTCATCCTAGCAAAGTTACTGCGCTTCGCAGTATTACGAGACACGAGCATTTTAAAGCGTTGCCGATGTTTTCGAAATTACACGGTAGCATAAGCTGTGGGAGTAGCAAGTCGTTGGATTTTGTGCAATCGTTGGATTTTGGGCTCTCGGCAGGCCACTCTGCTTTTTTAGGCGCAATTGAATCCGCCGGCACTCACGGCAGTCCTCCAGTCCACTAGTTGACAAGGTAATTCCAGTAATTCCCTGAATGCCCGGTATTTTACAAATTCCGGTCTACTTGCGATCCGTGTATTTAGCATATTGAATCATTTCCATAAAAAGCTACGATCTCCGTATCTAGTTGATTATTGTACCGTAAGTGGTATTAGAGAAAAATTAGTGACAATCGCTTTTATACTAATCTCTTCATCGACAGAAGAGAAAAACTATTATTTCTTATACTGTAAAATTTGTTTTACTTAAACATTTATACAAATTAAAGTCAAATAAATGTAAATAATATTAATATATTAATCAGCAAACGAGTGTAGGTAATTCTAGGTTTATTTATCCTTTACGGAAATTTTATAGATAATTTTATCGGAAATACTCTCGAAGTATGAATCACCAGGGACAATATTTGCTGTACAAATTTATTTTAAGAATATATATTTTCAAATAATATTCATAAAGATACTCCTTTCGAAAAGAAGTTATGCATTCCTTCGTGATGTTAATGCAAATTAAATGTCATCAGAAAACTTATCGGATCCGTTTTACCTTGATAAGATTGTATGAAACTTCGATGGAACTAGAGTGCAGCCATAACCGGCAAAATTTATTCGTAATTTTTTTCAAGAAAGATAAAAATAATCACGGATAATCAGAAATTATATATTGTTTGTTTCCTGTTCACTTTTGTTCTTACTAGAACAAATCGAAAGTTATCACGAAGCAGAAAGAAAATTAAAAAACCAAATCTCGGATACATATGCAATGCCGTCGCATCTTTAGATAATCGATCGGGTGCAGTCACGCGGTAAGAAAAGCAGAAATCTTTTTCAGTTAATTTAATAGAACATGCCTCTATGCCATTACCTGTTGCGTTCACCCATTATTATGTGTGCCAGCATGACTTCGACGAAGAAAAATGACGACTGTGTCATTCGGGGACGGGTATTTCTTATTCATCTTCTCGCTACGTATGTTCCGTTTATATTTGATATGTTTCTGGTTACAAGTTCTTGAAGGAGAAGATAAATATTGGAGAATGTATATTAGTTACAAACTTTTTTAGTTTACAATAACGTTAATTAATATTAATAAATAATTATATAATTTATTAAATTATATAATTATATAATTTATTAAATTATTATTTATTAATTTATTATGCATATCATAATACAAGAAACCATTATTGTAATAGTTATTTATTGTAATAGTTGTATTAACGTTGTTTTGTTAATATATATATATATATGTACCTATAATATATAAATTATAACTTAATAATTATATTTTAATTATTCAAAGAAATTTTGTTAAATTAGTTAATAATTCGAAGTGATATCTCTCTCTGCAAGTTAATATTATTACACATTTTGTCAGAAGAAAACTATTTACAAATAACACTATTACCATATTTTCAGAATAAAGAGTCCTAATAAATATTAAAAGAAATTCGTCATCATTTTCTGATATTTCATGAGAAGTTCATAAATCATAATACGATCGATCCTATATAATAAGACATGCTTTTATATGATAATTTACGATAAATGCGTGTGACATAGTTTAAAACTGTTAACATACATTGTTGGATTTTTTAGTTGGTTTCGTTTAATTATGCCTGTATAACACTCGTCGATATGTGTATTATACTATATATTATATTTGCCCTGTGGCAGCTAGTAATTATCACATATTATTTCACAGACTAAACTGTTAATTATTCAGTCGAAGAGAAACCTTTCGGCGCGTATAAAGTTAATACAACGGTCTCTTTTATAACTGCGTATTAATATTGAAATTTCGATTATGCCGATTTATTTATAGATGTACGCCGGTGTATACTTTGATTCAATTTCAGATTTTTATCACATTAATTTTCGTATCAAACATCACGTGTCTAATTTATTCGTTTAAATTTTATTTTTCTATTCGGTGTCATCGAGTTATATATACGTTTATAATTACATTCGTATCTCATACATTCGGAAATGAAGTACTTTCACCCAAAGGCATTGTAAACACGAAAGTGCTTCGGATGATTATTAAGTTGGAGACATTTGTCATTTTTTAAATTAAAATTAAATATCAGAATGAGAGAGAAAGAGACCCACTTTAGATACATATTGCAGTACTCGGGATAATTCCTCGGGATCATTTCTCACCCAAATGGCGCACCAAATGTCTAACAGAACAGCGGGCAGGAAGGACTCCGCATTAGCGAAGTTTCGTGCTAATTGTACGTAATTAATTATATCATTATTTCGCCGATTAATCTAAGTCAGGCTCACTGCGGTGGTAGAGAATCATATTTTTCCTCGCGATATGGTATTCTTTGTCGCAACTACTGCACTAAGAGCGATCAATCTAGGGAGATATGATTTCATTTCTTTTTTCTATTTTTTTTTGTGAAAGACAGAAAACAATGTTATGTACAAAGAAGAAGAAAGATGTTGCTTTCCCGGCGAGATGAAAATTGCGGAAGAATATATTGCGGAAATATTTTCTGGCTTTGCCGTATGAGAAACTAACACCGTTACAGCAACGATTTAATATTTGAAAACAATTTTGATTTTTTACACATATCCGTGCATCGAATGTTTCGGGAAGCATGGCAGCGCATCTTGAAAAATCTAAAATTGATAGCAGCATACCGGAAATTTATAAACAGCAGTACATGGAATACCCATTTATTTCATCTTCGCAAAAATCAAATCGCAGATGAGACAGTTACATAAAAAAGTTACTTAACTAATTTTAATAGATTTTTTTATAAAA